TGTCCATAAAATAACTCTAGGCATTTGCGTCTTATTATATTATTCCCTTTAATATGTAAATCTGTTTTACGCTAAGATCCAGACAATTAGACAGGGGGGAAAGGCTAGAGGAGGGAAGACCTCTCTTAGAATTTTCTATAGCGAACCTAGCCATGTTAAAATTATGGCCTCCACAAATATCCCAGAAAAAGTTTCCTGCAAAATGAAAATTAAGGGTTTTATCGAGCTAAAAGAATCGATAAAAGTAAGAATAAAACAAAATATTGTTTTAATGGCTTATGAAAAAAAAAATTAAGGCCAAAATTTAATTTTGTATATTCATAATTATTTGTGCATACAAATTTTCAAAATAAATAGCAAAAAATTTGTAAAAGTGAGGAAGAATTAAATAAAAGTTAATAATGTTTTTAGGGTACATATACATCTAAGGTTTAAATTTCGATCTCGTTGTCAAATCATAAATCTTACAGTAAATAAGCCATATAATATTACTAGTGCATATTTACAATTAAACATTTTAAAAATTGAAAGGGAAATTATTTGGGATGATAATGATGGAGGTGTTGTGTGTCAGCAACAAGGAGGTCCTTGTAGAAGTGGGGGCGATTGCTGTAGTGGGTGTCATTGTAGTAGTCAACATTGTCGTTGGTAACAAATTTTAAAAATAATTTTGAATAATTCAGAACAATAAACTTTTTTCATTGTTTGTTAAACAAATAATCATATTGAATTCTATTTGATATGATTTCTTATCTGAAAGCGAAAAATTGAGGGGAGAGAAAAGAGTGAATAATCCTCTCTATAAATTAATTTAAGCATTCTAAATTTGATGGACCATAAGTCGGGAAAATGACATGATTCTAATATTTGGGTTAGATGTCTATTTAAACCTAGTGGGATTCATTTTATAATATTTAATATTTTTATAAAATTATAAGTATTAATATTACCATAGTTACAAGAGGTCCGATGATGAATCAGAACAAGAGCTATACGAGGGGGAAATTTTTTAATTCCAGCAATGCCATTATGATTCTCGCATACAGAAAAAACCATTTGATAATAAAATTTTCGCTGGAGAAGATACTTATTACTAATATTACAATATGATAAATGTAACTAATTTATATATTCTATTCTAAGAATTTAATATTTGTATATATTTGGTATTCTACATTTTTGTAAATTTACGATGGAATGGGATAAAGGATTTAAATATTGAAGGGCGTATTATGAGGATTAAATAACATGGAGTAAAAATAAATGTGTAGTGAGGGATACTGATGATGAGGATCTAGCGTGCGTTGGAATAGAAGAGCGTTGGAATAGTAAAGAATGAGCGTTGAAATAATGGGATTATTTTTTTTATCTCGTAGAAATGTTACTAAATTATATTATTCATATTAAAAAAATAAATAGTAAGTTAGATATTTTTAATTAAAAAAAAACAAAATAGAGATTTAAAGAAGACAAGTAAATGAGGTTAAGAAAAATTGTTATATTTTTCATAATGTTTTTGAGTAAATAAATGGAATTAAGATTTTGTAGGTAAACAGTAAAGTTGAAATGGGAAATAGTAGTGTCAAAAGAGTAATGTATGATGAGGAAGTAAAATCGAAAATAATGGGAATCTTTAAGGAAAAATTTATTAATTATATAACAGTGGAAGGGGGAAGTTTTTTGGAAGGAAGTGATAGAAATTGTAATAAAATAAATAAAAATGGGGTTAATAAGAAATTTGTGTTATAAAAGTTTTGCATTTAAAGAAGAAATTTTTTTTTAATTTAAATTAAATTATCACATCTAATACTAATGCCCATTATAACTAAGTAAGACATATTAGCTTATGTGTAAATCTTTTTATTGTTTTTGTTTTCTCTCGTTTCTATAAGGGTAGAAGTACTCATTTTGAATATGATTGATCGCGTCAATACAAAGAAACCATTATAGAGAAAACAATTATAGAGAAACTTTTACAGAGAAAACAATTATAGAGAAACTTTTACAGAGAAAACAATTATAGAGAATGTCGATTATAGAGAATTATTTTATAGAGAATTATTTTATAGAGAATATATTTTACAGAGTTTATTTTATAGAGAGAACTGTCACGACATTACATATATATACCAAATATTCCATAAGATCCTATCTATTATATTTATTTATTTATATACCAATTTCATAGTAAAACATATTGTTTATAAATCACACAAAGAACTTAAAAACAAATGGTCTAATTCCAAAAATCGATAATCTAGAATTTTTTAGATAGGTTAAATTAATATCTTCGAATAATATTGAAAAAAATTCAATCACCTGATAATTTTATAGAGAATGATTTTACAGAGAATGATTTTATAGAGAATGATTTTATAGAGAATAATTTTATAGAGAATGATTTTACAGAGAATGATTTTATTGATAATTATTTTATAAAGAATGTATTTTATAGAGAATTATTTTATAAAGAAATTTACTTAAAGAATATGATTATTTTATAAAAAAATGTTATATATATTGTCATAGGAAAAAAGTATTTTACATAATTTTAAATATGATTACAAGCGAGGTCTTTCGATTATTAGATGAATTAATTGTAGAATAAAATTTTGACATGATTTGTAAGAATTTGCGAAATTTATTTTTAAAGATAAGTACGAAATAAAATAGTTAGTGTTGTTAAAAGTTGCTTTGGCAATGTAATGTAACTAGTTAAGTTAGTAGTTAAATTTGGGAAAATATAACAAGTTACAGTTAATAGTTTTCTTTTTTTAAATATACCTAGCCACTAGTTACAATTATTTTTAGTGGATAGTAGATTCAGGGCTAGCCGGATCGACCTAATTACGTTAAATCGAATATATTTATATTAATATAAATTCATTGGCTAAGATTTAAATCATATAGTAAAAGAATGTAAAAAAAATTTACAAATTTAAATTTATTATTTAATTATATTTATTGAAATATATATATAAATTAAGTAACCAGTTACTTTTGCGCAGATGCCTATTCCATATGTCTCAATGCATATGGCGCACGGTTCAAAAAAGTCCGCTAATTTGCAATGCATACAAATCCGAAACATATTTTGCTATTACATAAAAATGTTAATGTCAATGGCATATGTAACAATTGAGGATGTAATTCATGGATTCGAGGAATTATGTGCCTCTGAATTTTATCAAGAAAATAGGGATATTCTCTCTCCCTTGATAGAATATTTTGAAGAGACGTGGATTGGAAAAATGATAGCGATGGAGAGGAAGTCGCCAATATTTAGCATTTCTCTATGGAATTGCTACGAATCGACACTATCTCGTGAACCGAATACAAATAATTCAGTAGAGGGCTGGCATCGAAGTTTTTCGTCTCATATAAGTTCCCATCATCCAACGATCTGGAAATTTATAAAGAGTTAGTAATTATATTATATTATAAATTTTAGCATTTTCATATTTAACTCTCAAAGACGAAGATAGCCTAAATTGTTACAATTTGGAACAATATTTTTTAGGACTATCGGCTCCGCTGTCAAAGAAAGAATATCTCGAAAAATCCAAAACGATTTTTTTAAGTTTAAGATTTTTATTCAAAAACCATGCTGGATTAGGGAAAGAAAAAGGAGAAGCGAAATGAAAAAGCGAAAGAAAAATGAAAAGAAAAGGAAGAGGAGAAATGAGAAGCTAAATGAAAAGCGAAAGGAAAATGGAAAGAAATATGTAAAAGAAAAGAGAAAGGTAAAAGGAAAAGGAAAAGGAAAGGGGAAAGGAAAAGGGAAAAGAAAAGAAAAAAAGATAAAGGGAAAGAAAAATAAAAATAGGAGAAGGAGAAAGGGGATGGTAATAAAAGGCATTAAAAGGGAAAGCAAGGAAAAGAGATAGAAAAAGAAAGGGGGAAATGAAAAGAAGAATGCGAAAGGAGAAGGAAAAGATATGGGAAAAGTAAAATGAAAGGGGGAGAAGAAAAAGGGAAAGAAATATGTATAGAAAAAGATGAAAGTAAAAGGGGAAATGAAAAGAAATAAGGTAAATGTAAAGAAATAAGGTAAATGAAAGAAAAAGGAAAAAAGAAAGAGAAAGGAAAGAAGAAGAAAAGGGAAAATAATTGGAAGGAAAAGAGAAAGAAAAAGAAATATGGAAAGGAAATTAAAAAGGAAAGAGGGGAAAGTGAAAAGTGTAATAAAAAGGTAAAGATAAGGGAAAAGGGTAAGAAAAGGGAAATGGAAAAGAAAAGGGAAAATAAAAGAAAGAAAATGGAAAGTGGGAGAAGAAAAATGGCAAGGAAAAGGAGAATGAAAAGAAAAAGAAAAGGGGGAAAAAAAAGAGAAGGGAAAATAAAATAATGAAAAAGCGAAAAATGGAATAGGTAAAAAATTAAAAGGAATAGGGAAAGAAAACGGAAAAGGAAGGGAGAAAGGAAAAGAGAAGGGGTAGGAAAAGAAAAGGAAAGAAGGGGAAAAGATGAAAGGATATAAAGATAAAGGGAAATGTAAAGAGAAAAGGCAAAGAAAAAGGGAATGAAGAGAGAAATAAAAATGAGAAGGAAGAAAAAGAAGAGAGGTGACTAACTTTATTTTGTATGGTTGGCAGAATTTGTTGGATTTCGTTATATTTACAACTTTTTTTTTGTTGATTAACCAGCCATCTCTTTCTTTGTTTGGCAACGACAGATAAATCATAATTTACAATCATTAAGAGAGGTTAATAAAGTGCCTGTTTTTTTAATTAAAAAATTTATAACATAATAATGCACTGAACCTACAGATGAGTCAATATTAGGTTCAACTCATTAGCAATCATGGGAATTTCATAAGATGTTTGTAAAACATAAATGTAATCTAAAATGTAAGAAAATATAAGAAACACATATTTAAAAAATTATTATACGCGTTAAGATAATTAAACACTTATTCCTTTTTACTATATATAATATATATATATATCGATGACTATTATTTTATATGGTGGGTAGATTTATTGGGTTTAATTGTTAATTAACCTGCCATATTTTTCTTTTATTAATGACAGATAAATCAGCAACTGTACAATCATTTTGAGAGGTTAAGACAGGACCTGTCATCTATAATAAAAACAAAAGGAATAATTATAATAATAAACCGAACCCCCAGAGGAGTCACCATTGGTTGTCTTTATCTAAAATACTTATATATAATTTACTTCAATCTGCAAAACATTGTAATTAAAATTTCATGTGTGACCCATTAGATCTAATTTTAATTAAATTTTATAATTTAATTTAAATCTGCACAACACTGTAATTTATGAAAAAATATCTTTTTTGATATTTTGAAATAAAAATAAAGAAATACGTAATGATTACAATCCGTGCCGATGACATGACGTCACGAATGACGTATCGAGGACATCGGAAAATACTTGCATAGCTATATGGCCAGGAATATCAAAGCAATTACTTTGACTAATAGCCATTGTAACGGCTTTTGAAATAGAAGGCTTCATTACGATCGTCACTTAACGATTTCTGAATACCAAATTGATTGCTAAGGCATTTATTTGGATCGCGCCGAAATATAGGTGCAGTTTAATCCCAACTAATGGAAGACCATTGTTTTAGTCTGCTACCATGGGTCCGTAATAATTGTGCTCTAGTGCCCCATCCTTTTTAGATTAAATTATTTTTGTTTGTATCCTGTAAAGTTGATCTTAGGAATATTTACCTTATAAAGGGGTGTCCTTAAACTTAAATAACAATTTAAATATATTACATGCTTCGCCGCCCTAAATATTCGGTGGCAAGCTTGCGTGGCTAATCTTGATCAGTGGCTACCTGGCATGGAGAAATTTTTAGCGGACGTGCCGTGAGCTGGTGGTGCATATGTCTACTCATTTCACGTTCATAACACGGCTTCCTTTTTGAGGTTGGCACAACTGATTTAGGAAATAGCAATACAAAGTAGAGACCTTCATGGGCCGGGCCGACCCGCGGCCCACATGCCCATACCCTGCACTATCAGCTGGTCTCGGCCGGGCTTGGGTTTTTAAAAAATTTTTTTAATGGGCTGGGCTTGGGCCTAAAATTATTAAATTTAAATTGTTTAAAACAGTTGTTTAATGAAATATTGCCATTTTTTCTTCTAATAATAATAAATTTCAGTATTGTAAACAAAATGGCCTAAATACATTTAAATATTGATAATTTTCATAAAATAAAAAAAATTAAATTTTTGTATATGGGCTCGGGAAATTTTGTGAACTTAGGCTTGGGAATTATTTTAGCATTAAATATGGGCCGAGCTTGGTCAAAAAATTAAGGCCCATGAAAGTCTCTATTACAAAGACACTAAATATTAGCGAAACCTAGATATTTAATCATGTTATTCACATTCTGACATAATGCCAACCCGCAATTATCATATTTCTCACGAAAAATAAAAATTTTTATCAAATTTCTCCCGCAATTTAAAAATTTTTTACTAAAAATCCTGGTATTTTTTAAAAAATAGGTCTGCGAGTCTCATTTAAATAAATAGAAAGTATAAAAATAAAATGGTTAATAATTATAATTTATAAAACATTTTTTTATTTCACAAATTTATAATTATGAAAGTTTAGAAATTTGGAGGTTTTTTTAAAAAATATTTGAGTCATAGTCTCTAAGTAACTTTCAAAAAATTTTTAAATCAGCTAAATAAATAATTTAGAGAAAAAAAATCATAATAAAAATTTTTGTTGACCCCCCTACATTGATATCAGCCAGCACATTCTTGATTTTTAGCTTATATTTTATTTTTCAAAATAACCACATATACAACACTCACTACTCCGGAGACCTATACCCCACAAATTGAATTTGAATAAATAAGAATGATTCCTTGGAATAAGAATGCCAAATCAGAATAAAAAAATTTATCATAATGGAAGTTTTTTTTTAGTGATTTAGATTTTATATCGATTTTACGTAATAAGCTTGTTCGTTATGTGATTTTTTAAAATGTTTTCGATATTTGTGTATTGTTTACATTCATAACGTAATCTTCTAAATTCATTGATTATTATTATTAGTAAAATTTTAATCTTAGTTAATATAAATATAAAATATTATTTATAGCTTAATTTTTAGCATTTATGCATAAATACTATCATTCACTAACTCATAATATTGTTATCTTAATTTTTAAATTAATAATCGTCTGCTTATTTATTTTTTAAATTAATAATCGTCTGCTTATTTATTTTTTAAATTAATAATTGCTAATTCTTTTTCATACAATTTTTAAATTTTTTTTTATTCAAATGGGTCGAATAAGTCAACATATTCAAATTCGCAAGAAAATCATTAACTAATCTAAAAGAGGAAATTCTGGCAGAAAGATGACAACTCATAGCCGTAAGTCCATCTAGAGATATACAATATAAATATAAAAATACTAAAAATTTTTGGCTACTTAAAGAAAGAAAGAATGGATAAGGAAGAGATAAGATATTTAAAAGAGGATTGGATTCAACAAAAATCCTTAAAAATCGGTATGCCACTTCTTCAGCACTATTTCTGCTTTTGGCAAACAAAATTCCATAGCAACTTGTCAATGAAGATTATATTCAATAGAATAGATATTTTTTTCTATAGGTAAAAAAAAAAATTGAATATTTAACATCATAAAAGAATAACAGATTAAAGACTTAAAATATGTAAATTTAAATGATATTAACCCAGTACCTCTTTGTTCTCATGGCGTTTAGAAAAATAGTATAATGCAATTGATATCTATTAAAATGAAAAATTGTTTTTCTATGGAAACACTTTAGTATAAATATATATCATTATTTATTTTTTAATATCTATATTATTCTATACATTATAATTTCTTAATAAAGATAAATAATAATCGTTAAAAAAAATAACTTTTATAAATTACAAAATTTTATTTTAAAAAAATAATTAAAACAGGACAACAATATAGTTTCGTAGTTTAAAAAAAATAAAATCTGGACAATATGACGTATAAAAAGATAAATATTTGTGGTATCAGCTGATCAAAAAATATTTCCATATTTCTATTGAATTACTCCAAAGGCCTGTTGAAGGATTAGTCTATATATACCAATTTTTTTTTTTGATCGATGGATGGAAAACCGAACATTTATATACATTCGTAAATACTTTTAAATTAAATATGGCCACCAACAGTTTAAAAAGTTGTAACTATTACAGGAAACGGTGAGCATTAGAAATATTTTCTCTCAAAAAGTGAAGAAAAAAAAATAAATATAGAAAAGGGTAATTTATTTGAAAACTTTTACTCCTGTAAAACAATAACGAATTAAGATACTAAATTTGTTTTTGTAATTTATTACATTATCACTCTCCAAGAGGCAAAAGCAGCTTTATTTATACATGTCATAAATGACTTGTCATAATCATACTTAATATATATATATAATTGATTAAAAATATATTGGACAATAACAATACTGATTGAGAACTTGTTTTGATGACACAATGCAAAAAAAAATATTTTTAAAATAAAAAATAAAGACGAAAAAGGGATTATCAAATTATTGCGACTCGAAATTATTAATATTTGTTTCGCTTTTTAAAAATTTACATTTTATGGTGTTTTATAAAAAAAAAAAAATATGGTAATTTATTAGGTTTCTTTGAATTTCCCTTAGGTGTTGGAAGGTATAGGTTGAGCAGGTGAGAGCAAAAGGGGAAAATACTTGATGTGAGTTTGCCACTGTGAAGAGACCTGAAAAAACTTCACCCCGTTCCATTCAACCCCGTCAACGATTACTTTAAATATTAGTAGTAATAAAAATATGTTACTTTTTGACAAAGAATATATGAACAATTCAACGTAATAAATGTAAAACAATTGATTATAGACAATCATTAAACTTCAATATCCCTCTGGTAACGTTTAACGTCTCTTCTTCAAAGGACCAGAACTTTTTCTTAGGAAGATTAAATTTTCCTTTGGAATCCCAAATTAAAAGGAACCAAGACAAAAAAAAATGTTTTTGATTGCCTAAGCCCTCATTACTGATATAAAAGAAGATAATATAAAGAAAAACCTTTCAAAGGATGGGTCAAACTCTTGGTGGAGCAAACTACTAATCTTTGCACGTTGTTTTGGGATAGTATAGAGTTTTCATTTATCTTGCTTTTCTTGCCCAAATTTTTGACTTTGTAAATATAAATATATATATAAGTTAGTCGTAAATTATTGTATTTACAATAATAATATTCTTTATGAGGTCATATTCGTAAAAGGTTTACATGATAAATATGTAATTCTTAAACATTCAGTAGTAACGAGAGTGTCTTTTCGCGGCGTTATATAGTGTCCCAATAATAATATCGCGGTGACATGTCCGTACTTTAAAAAGTGTCGGGTCCATTACAGGTCAAATGAGAGCACAAAAAAATGAAATTTTCGGCCGACCCTCTTCAATTTTTAAAATTTTAGCCTCGTAAAACATTAGTATTTTTGGAGATATTCGGGTTAAGTGCCAAAAATGAGGTATTTTTACCATTATCTTCTTTCACCCAATTACAAAACTACATAATTCTAAATAACAAATTTAATATTAAAATTAGGTTCAAAGATTAAGATAAAAAATTTTTTTTTGATTTTTTCAATTTTTTCCCATTTTATTTAATATTTAAGAACTAAAAACAATTTTTGGAAATAATATGACCTTCAATTTTTATAAAAGATTTAGTAGACATTACTAAACTCTTCCTTTATATTTATAAAAAAAATCGGTCTGGAACACGGCTAGCTTCATTCTTAAACCCAATAAAAATAATCAGACAGTGAAGAAATATTTTCAAGAAAGGGATGTTATTAATTAGTTTTTAATGATTAGTTTCAACTATTTGATATTATTTATATTCATCTTGTAAATGAAAATAACAATAAATCAGTTCAAAAAAAACCATTAAATACTGATTAATATACAATTTTATACAAAGACACCCCCTTTCGTGAAAATATTTATATACTTTTCATCATTTTTATCGATTTTGAGAAAGCTGGCAGCGTCCCAGGCCAATTTTTTTTCATAAATATAAAGGAAGGATTTAGTAATGTCTATTAAAATATTTTATAAAAAAATAAAGGTCGTAATATTTTTAAAAAATATGTTTTAGTTCTTATATATTAAATAAAATGGCCGGAAATTGGAAAAAGCATTAAAAAAATATTTTTTTAAGTATAATCTTTGTTTTGATATTAAATTTGTTATTTATAAATTATATAGTTTTTAAAATATAATTGAATGAAGGCGCATAATGGTAAAAATACGTCATTTTTACCACTGAACCCTAATATCTCCGAAAATATAAATGTTAGGAGACTAAAATTTAGGCTATTTAGTTAAATTAATCTTTCTTGGCTTGCCAAATTTTAAAAAAAATCGAAGGGGGTCGGTCGAATCGTGGTTGATTTGTCATGGAATGACCCATTATGTTTATTTAACAATTTTTTTAGTTAATTTAATATACTAAATCTAATTGTTGAGAATTTGGGAAATAGAAAAATAACTAGACTTTACGAGTTAAGTTTCCTACTTATCTCATAGCACTGAATTAGCCGAGGAGATCAAAATGGCACAGGCTGAAGAATTTATTTTTTTAAAAATCTAGCTCAATTAATTGGATAAATGAATTTTATTACTAGAGATCGAGACAAATAGGGTTAGATTTTTATGATTAATATAAATGATTGCTAATATATTATGCTAATATATTATGCTAATATATTATGCTAATATATTATGCTAATATATTATGCTAATATATTATGCTAATATATTATGCTAATAATTTACATGTTTGTTTCTTTTCTTTGATACCGCAACGTAAGGTTAGCAAGTTGTTAGATGTCGGAGTCGATTCCCGATTAACCCTCATGTACTGAAAGCGGGAACCAGCTTTAATGCTCCGCTTGTGTAAACGTTCCTTCCGCTCCATCATCCCCATAATAATATTTTCTAACGAATCGGGACAAGCTTTATCGTGAATAATTTCTGGATTTTTAGGGATTTTGCTATTCAAGTCTTTGTTCCGAATATTTGTCTTGTGGTGGATAACGTTGTCTAATCGTTCTTCTAATTTGTCGAATTGTCTTTCAAATTTTTTGTTGAAATTACTTTCGGGATTATTGCAAGAATTATTAAGTTTTGGTTTTGTTTTGGGATTTTGGTTAGCATCGAAATCTGTATTACTTGAAGATGGATTTTCGTGAGAATAATACCAATAATCCATGTGGATGTAATTGGGTTGGTGAAAGGTTAATTCTAAAGGCTGAATATTGACACATGTGAGTTTTGGCCTTTGGTAAAAAAAACATTTTTTAATTTCTAGTTAGTAAAAATGATTCAAATATCATCCCCAATTTATATAACTACTAGTCATAATTTTAAATATAAGCATATGTCCAATTTGTAAGCTAGATTTAGTGTACGTTCATTCAGCTTCCTTATAAAAATATTTCTTTTTAAGTTATTTGCAATCCTTTCTTCATATTTCAATTCACAAATCTATTTATTATTTCCCCTTAATATTCGTTTTCTTAATTCCTGCAATCGTCTCAATCTCTCCCTACTGGGGTATTCCAAATACCACCCAGCTAAAATGATTTAGCCTTCATCATTTATTCACTTATATATAAACCCCCTTAAAAAACCTTAGAAATTATGAAATATAATAATAGGCATGGCCCATCAGAAACCATTATCACTCCCAAGAGTTAAAAAAAATCTCCTTAGACCCCATTCACAATAGGAGGCTAATCTTCGCTTCCTGTATCTCATGCTGAAAGAACATAAAAATTAATAATCACAAAAAATATTCGTCAATCTTTTGATATTCTCTTCTGTAGAATTTAGAAACGAAATAAATATTTAATAATAACGTACTAGTATTACTTATTATTATTACGATTTGTTGGAGGGGAAAATTGAGTATTCTTCTTAGGGTGATCTTCTAGGTAGCTTCCAGTTGAGGAACTATAATTGTTGAAACTCATTTCGTCGTCCACTAGGAAGAAGTGATCCAAAAAAAAATATATTTAAGAAACATTGATAGTCAAAGTATTTGAGTTGAGAGTAGTGTTGTTAAATGACCCAATTTTAGGTCGATTTTTTAAAAACGACCCGATTAAGATTTTAGCCAAAATAATATTATGTATAAGCCCTCGAAATTTTTCAAACATAGGTTTAAACCTTTTTGCCGTCTATCAGCAAAATCTTCGGGCTTACATGATATCATTTTATCTAAAATCTTAATCGGGCCGTTTAACAACACTAGTTGAGAGATTAATTATATTAAATATTTAGGATATCATATCCTCTCTTTTTCCTCTATTCTTTCTTCCTAATTTGTGTAATATCTACGAGAAAAGTATTAAGGGTAGGGCAATTACTCGATAACGACATGATAGGGTTATTGTCGATATTAAAAGATTGTGTTGGGTCCTTTTGCGAACATTTTTTGGACTTTGATATGAGAGATTTGACCACGGAAGCGTTAATCCTATCGTTGAAGACCATTTTGACATCCTTTTTTTCATCAGAATATTATTTATTTAAAAAAGAAATTTTATTTACACAAAATTTAATATATTATAGTAATGCTAATGATCAATAAAAATATATAAAATAAGTAAATCGCTACCTTTTCAAGTTCTTAAAAAAAGAAAGAAAATGAACAATGACGGGCTCGAGCACCGTGAAGAATTAATTTTTTACAAGCCCGACCAGGTTCAAAATTTTTTGGCCAGCCTGCTGGCAGGGCTGAACCTACCTCTATTTAATATAAAGTATTCCTTCGTTAACAAAATATTTCATTATAAAAACCTTCGTCTTATAAGTTAATTTTTAAAAAAAAAAAAATATATACAAATATAGAATCGCATTTAAAAAGTATCCAAACCCTTTTGAGTTTGCGATTAAGAGTCGCTTTAAAAGCCTTTGGAGTTCAGGTTTTTTTTTGAAACGGTATAAATGGCTATTACTTAATCAAATGTTAAAGACCCCTCTCGCGTCCCAGTTATTAACATTTAAACTTTGGAAAATCTACAAATCGGGACCGAGAAATGTAAAACCCGAGAAATTAGTGCGCACAAATTGAGCATTTCAAATGCTGCGTTGCAAGCGCAAATAAGGCATTTCAAATGGTTTCGTGCTTATTGGTTAAATTACAGTATGGCGTTAGCGAGCATTTAAAAAAACGCAAATAGGTTTGCTTGTTCATTTACTTTTTTTTTATTTCGCTTTGTAATATTATATATAAATGTAATATAAATAACTTACTTATAACCTAAAAAGGAATATTTAGAACTTAAAGAAATAAGAAGGCAGACGATAATATAATTTTCAAAGACAAATCCTTTTTTTAAAAAAACTTATTTAAAATTTTTAAGATGTATATTAATAAAAAGTCAATTTAAAACAAGAGACGCGTAACGTTTTTTTTTAATAAAAAAATTACGGCAAAACATCGCCTCGATTTGTGTTCACTTATAAAGATATTTATTTATTTTGAAAAAACATTAAAAAATATACGTTTAAGAAGGGAACGAATATTTGCGTCGATTCCGCCAATTCGTGAAAGCTTATTGGAGGAAAAATAAAATGAAACGAAAAAAAAAAATTATTTTTTTTATTTAACAAGAAAATTGATAATTTTTAAAACATATTAACTATTTAATAAAATAATAATTTGAAGAGAAAAAAAACTTACTGATTTTGGTTAAAGTTTAACATGATTTCTCCCAGAGGAACATAGATTCGGCGACTCAAATCGTTTAGGTAATCGAAAATGCGATTGAAAACTATTTCCATTTCTTTTGTAAAAAATAAAACAAAAAAATTATACATAAATATTTAAATCATGAGGGAAAAATATGATTTTTGCGTGCGCCTCTATACATACCTGAAATTATTTAGCGAGACTTTTTATTTATAAATGTAATAAAATTTATTTTCCTATGCCAATAAAATAGAAAAAAATTTTTTTGCCAATCATAAAGTAGAAAATTAAAAGCCTAAAATAGATACAGAAATATATTTCTTTAAAAAAACCAAAAGCATTTCCTAGTGATATGATGACGTTGGTGAAAGTAACGTCGTTACCTTTTTTGAGGAAAAGGAAATTCATTCGTTACTTTTCCCAAATAACGAGTAACGTCTTTCTTTATTCTTCGAGTCACGGTAACGTAAAATTTTACAAATATATTATATTTTTGTTTTAAAAATATTTATTAAATAATTTAGGCCGAGTTCGTAAAAATATTACGAGTGCTGGTCAGTCTAGTGATGTTAAATCGTTCCATTTGAGCCGCCTCTAAAAGGATTTAACAGAGAGTTTAGCCTCTCCGAAAACCAGAGGGTTCGGTTTCAGTTCAATGGAAGATAATAACTTAAATAAGAATGTTCATTTGAAGGAATTTAAATTAGGTGAACTATACTTAAAATTAAAACAAAAAGGTTTAAAAATTGATTAAAGGTTTGGGGGATATGGGTAAGGTTATATTAAGATATATTAACCGTTTTTTAATCATATTTAATTAATATCCCTGTTAAATCTGTGAGGTCATTTTATTATAATTAGAAATAAATTACATCATTTGCATATTTTGTGTTCAGTGAGGTCTGGTTAATGTCAAACCTCGCAATTATGGCATGTTCAAAAATTAACATATTATCGATAATATATATACCCCCCTCCTATCCTATCTGAAAAATAAAAATTTCCCTCCCATGACTTAGATTTCCAAATATCCTTCTTTGGTATTCCCTCAACTGAAGCTTCCTCCTGGTTACGAGCCTGATATACATTTTATAAAATGAACTTTTTTTGTGGGTTAGCTTTAAGTTGTCGGGTTAAATTTCATAAAGGAGGATGGGCTAAGGGTCTTAGTGGTTTAAATACCTAACTTTAGTCGACTATAAAACAGGGTAGCCATATTTTTATCTAAAAATATTCGATTAATTTTCAAGTTGAGACTAGACATGCCACAAATAGAGATAGTCAAAGTTAGGTGATTTAACGATACTAAAGGGTCTAATATAAAAATTGGAGCCCATTTCTGAGCTTCCACAAAATAAACGGCGGATTATAAAATACTTTTGGCTCCATGATAATAACCCATATCAGATCTGCAATTCAAGGAAATTTTTTTTAATAGGATGAAATATTTAAAGTTAAACAAGTAAATAGGATAAAAGATTAAAAAGATATAGGAGGGTTATAAAGGTTTGGGGGATATGAGTTGGTGTTATAAGACATAAAATTGTGTTTTTTTAAAAATAAAATTTAATCATTCTTATTAAAGACCTGCAGAGGTACCGTTTGCGCGGCCAGACCCTGATAGGGTATATAAATTATTTTTCTAAGACTTTGGTTTTATAAAAATAAATATATATTTAATCGGCTTTTTACTTTTTCAACGAATATGAAATCCATATATAATGACTTTTTCAAAGTGAGTTTAAAATCACTATACACTATCTCTTCGACAGGTGGATGGTAATTCCCTTATTTTTCCTTTTGCTCCTGTATATCTATATAATCTTCGCTCTCTCCCTGGCAACATACTTAATTGCCTGAATTTGGGACAGAGAAAATGAGAGATAAAATGATACCCATATAAAATATAATTTTCCCTTTTAAAAAGTATTCTTTATATTTTGATTATTGAGTTATATCTTTGTTGCTTTTAATAATTTGATCGATTTAAATAATGATTAGTAGAATAATTAATTTGAATAATATTTTAAACTATAAAAATTTACTAAAAATGGAAATAGGAAACATGATAATTGAATGAATGTGAAATATTGTTTTAATGATAGTGCACACAAATTGAGTGTTTACGTGCATTAATTTTTTAATTAAAAAAACGTAACGCTTCCCTTGTTTAAATTGAGGTTGCCTTTTTATTAATATCCGTTTATTCAAATTTTAAATTAGTTCTAAAAAAAGAAGAATTTGTCTTTGAAAATTATATTATCGTCTGCCTTCTTATTTTTTCAATTTCTAAATATTCCTTTTTAAGACATAAGTAAGTTATTTATAGTACATTTTATATAATATTACAAAGCGAAAAATAAAAAAAAGTAAAGGAAAAGGCAAACCTATTTGCGTTTTTTTTAAAATGGTTGCTAACGACAAACGGTAATTTTACCAATTTGCACGAGGTCATTTGAAATGCATTATTTGTGCCTGCAAAGCAGCGTTTAAAACGCTAAATTTGTGCGCACTAAAATGGAGAAATAAAATATTTTGCCTAGCCCTGATATTTTATTTCGAAAAAAATTTAAGACAGACCCGGCCTGGGCATAAATTTTTAAAAATATACGGAAGTCTCCGATTTTTATTACTAGCTTTTCAAATGACAGGTCACATGATTAATATTAATTTCCTTCAGTTAAACCATCATCTGGTTCGGTTGGACTAAAAAAAAGAAAAGAGATAATAATAATGGTTTCAGATTATTTCAATTTTTTCAAATTTTATATTTTTTTTTGACATGAATTGTATAATATTAATTAATATTATTTATGGATACTTATTGTAACTATATCTAATTATATATTTATGTCATAATTTGATGGATTAATAAAATAATAATTTTTTTTTATCAAATTTTCATCATATTTTATTTTATAATGAATATTATTTTATTTTTATTTCAATTCTCGTGTTATATGAAAAATTATAATTTATATTTTATTTATTTCTTAATATTTGAGATAAAGAGCAAATTTAACAATCGATAAATACAAAAAAAAATTTTTTTTTATTAGATATTAATATAATATTGACCAGACCAAAGGCTGAGTAAAAGAATAAATAAAGTTTAACACGCCCTTCCCAATCATTAATTCGAAATTAATATAATTATTGCCATAATATGATTAAAATCAAATAGTGTTGTTAAACTAGCTCAATTTCAGACGATTTTTAGTAACTCAGTATTTTATTCAAAAAGATTTTATGCTCCTGAAGATTATAAATTAGAAAATTTCATAGACATAATCAATAATTTTATCTTACTACTATATCTTTCTTCTTTTTAATAGAAATACATTATAAATTAGTGATCTGCATCGGGCCTAGTTTTAAAAGCCCGACGCCGCTAACTTTGCAGATCTCTATCATAAATATCAATTAAAAATTACCATATCATCCATCTTATTTAATTTATAAAAAATTTTTGAAAACGTTCATCTATCTTTCCTTTTTTTACACTGTACGTTCTTTCTCTTTTTTTTAATTTTTTTAAATTTTTGACCTTAATTATCTTCTATCATTTCACTTTTAAACTTTATTTTTTTATGTCTTTTTTTTGAAAGGAATTAATTACTAATTAAATGAATTTAATTACAATCACTAATAACTTTAATTTCTAAAATAAGTATTTATTAATTATTAATCATACCAAATAATAGATATAACCATTTACAATTTACCTTACCTTTTTATCTATATTTTATCTTTTATACCTATCTTTTCTCTTTTATTTCTCTTATTTCATTTAGTTATATTTTACTTTGCATTATTCTATCATTTTTCTTTTTAAATATTACGTTTTTCTATCTTTTTTCTTCGTAAAATTAAATTACAGATAATGGACATAATAGGAATCAATTTTCAAATATAAAAAGAATTTAATTATAAATATATTAAAAAATTAATAAGAACATAATTTTATGATATATAATATGTAAGGTGGCATTTATTGTTATTTAATATTATAATAAAAAATGAAATAAATTAATATGGCTTGCTAATAAACTTTGGTCTGGTGGAAGAATTCGAATTTTATAGTAATTATTAAATTCCTACCCCAAAAATTTTAAAATCTTGATAAACATGTGGCATGTGATATGGAATTTAAAGGGATTAAAAAACCTCTCAATTTTAAATTATTTGTAAAGAATGTTTTTTAATTTTTTAAAATCAGATTTCCCCGATAATGTATTTCAGTATGCATAGAGTATTCACACTTTAAATTTCAAACAATTTTGCCAAAATCTTTTACATATTTTTTTTTAAATCTATATGAAAACTAAGCAATATTTCATATAAATTAAGAGTAGATACAAAATTCTAAGCCATAGAGAAGAGAAGAGAAGAGAAGAAAGGGTAAGAAAAATGGTAGGGTAAAATAAAATGGGAAAGGAAAAGGGAAGGAAAGGGTGAAATGAAAAGTAGAATGCGAAATGAGAAGGAAATAAATGAGAAAAATAAAAGGGGGGGGGGAGAAGAAAAAGGTAAAGAAATATGTAAAGAAAAAGATAAAAGTATAAGGGTAAATGAAAAGGAAAGAGGTAAATGTAAAGAAAAGGGAAAAAAAAGAGAAGGGAAAGAAAGGGGAAGATAATGAAAAAGAAATTAAAAGAGAAAGGAAGGAAAAGAGAAGGAAAATCGAATATGGAAATGAAATAAAAAGGAAAGAGTGGAAAGGGTAATAAAAAGGAAAAGATAAGGGGAAAGGGAAATGGAAAAAAGGGAAAGTAAAAGAAAAAAGGAAAGGAAAAGAAATAGTGAAAAAAAAGTGGAAAGGGAAAGAAAAGGGGAAAGGGAAAAAAGGGAGAGAGGAAAAGAAGAAGGGTAAGAAAAGAAAGATAGGGTAAAATAAAAGGGGAAAGGAAAAGGGAAAGAAGAAATGAAAATTAAAATGAGAAGTAAATAAGAAAAGAAAAATAAAAGGTGAGAGAAGAAAAAGAATAAAGTAGGAGGGGAAATGAAAAGAAAAAAGGTAAATGTAAAGAAAAGGAAAAAAAAGAGATGGAAAGAAGAAGAAAGAGAGAAATTAAAAAAAGGAAGGAAACGGGAATTTGGAAATGAAATTAAAAAGGAAAGAGGGGAAAGGGTAATAAAAAGTAAAAGTTAAAGGGAAAGGGTGAGGTAAGGGAAATGGAAAAAAAGGGAAAGTAAAAGAAAAAGGGAAAAAGGAAATAGTGAAAAAAAAGTGGAAAGGGAAAGAAAAGGGGAAAGTAAAAGATATCTGTCAATTGTTTTTCAATATGTTTCGAAAAGATACGAAATAACATTAATTATTGTATCATGTGAGTTTATATATTACA